AAAGGAACAGGAAGGTGAAAGAGAAAGTGGAGGAAAAAAGAAAAATTTTTAAATTTTTATTGCCAAATCATTTTTTTTGCCATGCTGGATTTCCACGTAGGTTTAATATTTTAACAGATCATTATACTTCCGTTAGTTAACAGTACACGTCATGCGATTTTTAACGAAGGGATCAAGTTGGGGTTAAAATGGTAAATAGTAGGGACCAAGTCAGGGATTTTTTGAGTTGAGGGACTCAATCGGGGGTCCGTACGATAGTTGAGGGACCAAAAAGGGGGTTTAACCTTGTTTTTATATTCAGGTAAAAATATACCGTAGCAGCTGCCTAGGGAACCATGTGCACCATTCCAGCTGCTACAGTATATATAAGGGACACTCAAAACTTTAAAGGGACCCAGTTGTCTGTCCGTCGGCAATGACCCCCAGTGCCCTGAATAATGACACACCAATCCCCTTTCTGTGTTTCTTCAATGCTTTTCATAACCTACCATGAGGTCTGTTATTATATTCTAGTTTCAACATTAATGGATACCTATTACTCAAATAACACTTCTCCCAAATTATGGTTACAATCATACAAGGCAACACAGGCAGCTTAAGAGATGGAGTATTCCATTCAGCTACCCTATCATCCAGAAGAGGAACCAAAAGGGGTTCAAAGGACCCATTTACCTCTACCCTGGCCAGTTGCCAAGGATCCCACTCCCCTAGTTCCCTACACAATGACACAACCTTTCTTACCATTCACACACTATGCCCCTTTCCCCTTTCCCCTTTCTCAATGTACTCTGTCATTTACAACACTGATCAAACAATCCCGGATAATATTGTACAGTAAGATTGGGCTTGTTTAAAGACTTTAAGCCAGTAGCCAGAAATCCTTGTGCCGCTTAGTGGTGATCAAGTAACCTCCTAGTTTCTTGCTTTTCCTTCTCACTGCAAATGCCATGCAACTAGCATTTTGGATGCAGTACTCCACAACACCACCTGAAATCTTGTTTCCTGCCCACATCATGATTAGCCGCCATGTCATGGATTTCTTCTTCTGCCCCAAAACCAGAAGTGCTGCTTCTTGCTTCCTAGCCTCTTCCACTATTGTTGGACCCTTCTCCTGCCCTTCCACCACTGCTACCTCTACATGTACCTGCTACACCGAGATCATCATCCATTCATCCTCTAATTAAAGTAGCATTAATTCTAATGTTAAAGTAAAAAAAATAAAGTAAAAACTTTTAAATATTTACGAACCTCAGGTCTCTTCTGCTTACACATGTTTTTGAAGGAGGAAACCAGTTCATATCCCTTTGGAGCTTTGTTTTTGCCAGACTCTTCACTTGTGGCTGCAAATGTATTCTTAAGCCTCAGTAACCGATATAATGGTGAAATTTAAGGAGAGATGAAAAGGAAGTCTTAGATTTCAAACCTTGTTTGCTGGGTTTAGTTACATGAAGAAGAATGATGGTGTCCTGGCTTTGAACAGTGTGAGAGAGTGCCCACTGCAAAGCTCCCTTAGCTTCAGGGCTTGAATCAACCACGATCATAATTTTCCGGCCAATTACAAACCCCTGCACTCCATCAGTCAACTTATCTTCTCCAAGTTTGCTACTTTGCTTGGTCATTTGATCCGGTTTGTCAGAACCGGGATTAGGCTTGGATTGAATAGTCGGCGAACGAACTTTAACATGAGGCCTAATTCTGTTTAGGCAGAAGCTTGACAACCCTGTACCTGTCTTCTTGCCCATTTCTTGAGAAGGGCACTAGGGGGAGGCACAACTTATCATAGGGGAGTGGAGGGGAAAGGTAGGAGAGAAGAGAAGAGATTTAAGAGAAGACAAGCCTTGCTTGTACCTGAACCAAATGTCTAGATGTTGGTCTGGGCCATAGTTTCTGTTCTGCTTTTTTTCTCTTTTGCTTTGGTAAATTTTAATCATTTTATGAGTGCTTTGCTCCTTTCCAGTTTTCTCTGGTGGGGCTGTTCCTCAACGTGTCTATAATGAAGCGGTAGGTCCTTTCCTGCTTTTCCTACTACTGTTAAAACCAAAGTGATATTTTGGTTAATTAAAAGAAATTAAGCAAGGCATAATGTCATCATACCAGGAACTATGAAGTGGTCCATTTGGAACAATTTCTGTTCAAAAGAAATTAAGCAAGGAAATGTGTCATCATACCGGGGTCTATGAAGACATAAGAGTTCATACAGCTTAGTTCTTGAGTACCCATTCCAAAGACTTTATAAAATGTATAAAAGACCATCAATAAGTAAGGAGTGTTGGGCAAGCATATCCAGAGTACTGAGACATGTCCCAGCTGAACGGAAATACCCTGCTTTTTAAAGGGAACAATCCATGTATTCAGATGATAACCAATCATTAGCTCCGAAACTAGAAAATGAAAGGGAATCACAAACAATGATCTGAAAAGCGGGGACCTTTCTCAAAGAAACAGAATACTCATAACCTTGTTACCATTACAGTAAGTTGATCATTAGAAAATGGTCAGTCTTCCTTCATAATGCAGAAAATATTACAGTTCTTCGAGATATAGACAAATGACCATTCTTTCACTATTACCTATTGTGTTCTTATGAGTTCTCTTCATCTTCTGTGGTGTCATCTGCACTCATAAGATGCTTAAGGGCAACTTTTGCTTTCTTAGGTTCTGATGAGGCTTCCTGGATATCATCTTCTTCACACTTCCTTTTTATCCTCTCACCCTCCTCTTTCTCATGCTCAGCTGTGATAGCTTCATCATCAGATTTTTCTTTCTCACCCTGCAATGACGGCTTCACATCAGACCCCTGGGCTTGCTCTTTACCATTTGTTTTTTCTTTCAGAGAAGATTGTTCACATTCTTTCAAAAGTAGGCGAATTTCTTCATTCCCTGCGAAATCAAGTGGTGTTTTCCCAGCTTTCGTTTTCACAGTAAGACTTGCCCCTTTCTTCACCAAGTATTTGATGAGTTCAAGGTGGGACCCTTGAACAGCATAATGTAGTGGAGTCATGCCTTTGCGATTGGAAGCTTTTACAGAAACCCCTGATGAGATCAGAGTTCGAACAACCTCTAGATGCCCCTTCTGGGCAGCAAAGTGAACTGCACCCATGTCATCCATGGCAGCAGCTCCAACATCAGCCTTTTGCTTGCAGAGATAGCTCACTACCTGTGCTTGCCCTGCCCATGCTGCTAAATGTAGTCTATTTTACCAGTCACTGATATTAGGGTAACAACATTGCAAAATCAGGATTCTACCATGCAAAAAGCTTAGAGGAAAACAACAGAATCCAATTATTTAAGCCAGTTACAAACAGGATGACGGTAGTTTCTGGGAATATTAAATAAATAAAAGTTCACTTATAAGGAATGATTAAAAATACCAGCAGAAATGCCAGAGCATATGGCTACTCGTGTGGTTTACAAATAAAATTGTCAATCCAGTTAATTCAGATGATTTTTCAGGACACTTAAAAAATTTATATGTATATTTAGTCTGCTGAAACAACCAAAAATTTGTTAATTTGGTTTCAACCAAATAATGCGCCACCCTAAAATTACAATAGGTTGTATAACATAACATTCGCATTCACAAACCATTAAACCTCCATTGCCACAAATTGTAGCCTCCAACGGAAGGTAAACTTTCTCTCTAGGAGGCAGCACTTAAATTTATCTGCTCCTACCTGGTAAACTTGCAGAAGGCAAATAAATTTGGGAGAAGGGGAAGGAGGCTGTTATTTATTTCTTGAATGAATTGTATAAAGTTTACTTGTTTGTCCCCGATTGCAGAACATAAATAACTCAATGGAAAATTTTTGGAATAATTTGAATATGTTTAGCTTAGGGGTTCTGAAATCCGCTAAATCTAAGTCCTAGTCCTGAAGGTGTGAGGAAAACCATGAAGCCTGCATATAGTTATTTCAGCCATTAAAGGAAGAAAGGGAAGAACAATATAAGAGTTTCAGCAGCTTTTGCAAGCCATTAAGATGTCAATTTCCTGACTTTCCACTCCTTTCTTAATGCAATTTCTTAAGAAATACTATCTTGATTTCTGCTAATTTTCCTAGCATGCAACATGAATCCAATTATCTGAATTTCAGCATATGCCCTTTTCTTTCCAGCAACTACACAGCCCAAAAAAATCATTCTTTTCCCCAGGTTTTCATCCCAAGAACAATCCTAAACCTGAAAAAGCTAATTCTATACGGTAACTTATTTCAGAGATGCAATAGTACCTAATAAAATTCAGGGTAACGCATCCCCAAATTCGAAATTTTCATAAACTAATGTAAACATTTTATGAAGGAAATTGGGATTTCGCTGAGATAAGGGATGAAAGCAAAACTAAACATTAGAAAAGTTTAGAATTTCCATAGAGTCGAAATCAAGCAAGTTAAGGCAAATACGAATTGAAACCTAAGAAAGAGGGAGGATACGGTGTTCTAGAGTGCTTATCTCTGGAATTGACGGCCAAAGGGTTAGAAGCGAGAATTGACTGAACCGTCGTAAGGTCACCGGACCTCGCCGCTGCGTGAATGTCCCTTCCGCGACCGCTGCTCATTTTCTCTTCTCTACGTTCAGAGTCTTCGAAATCGAACAACCCCAAATGTGTCGCCGGCGGTTGGTCGGGAGATTGGATCGTGTTATGAAGTTGCCTGCAAATTAAGCGAGTATGTAAGGTACCCGACCCGATATATTATATAGACGACCCTAATGGTAATTAAGATCCTTAATCTTGAAAATTCGGTCAAATTAAGTCCCGGACTTTTTAACGCACTGTTTTTAGGTTAACGTAGAAGGAAAATATACGAGGAATTATTTTCTACTTTTTTTTTTTTATTTTCTAATTTTATTCGACACCTAAATTTTCTTAATTTCATATCAAAACTTAAAGTACATTATTTTTTAATGTAGGCTGGATAATAGTTTTTTTGAAACCTACTCCACTAAAAATCTTTATTGAAATACATTTAATTGTAATAAATTTGACTATAAAGTACATTATATCTCAAATTAATTTAAAAATATTCACAATTATAACAAAAAAAAAAAAAAAGGACGTACAATCTTAATTACATGATACATACCATTTATATAAGACTTACCATATATACCACTTAACTCACATGAATAATTTCATATTCTTGTTGTGGAACAAATTAATGAATGGTTTTTAGTCTTTGTAAATGGTTTCTATTTAGCCTAATTTTTCCTCATGATGAACCTTATAGGAGTTCTTTAATGTTGCATTGAAGCAAAATTAAATACCATTCATGAATTGTTTCTCGTCAGAATGATTATGCATAAGTGTGTTAATTGGTATTTTAAACATGATTATTTCTGTTTTTCCTTCTGTTGTTGGTTATCTATGGAAGATTTGGCAACAACAATGAGAGACAATCCCTCGTCACACGACACTTTAAAGGTAGAATCATTCTCTTTGCTCTCTCAACTTGTCCCACAGATTCAAGAGAAAAAATATGAAAAACTGGACAACAAATGGTAAGTCATAACTATTCCTCACATTTGAGTTGAACTATGAATCAATTTGGATACTATTACAGTGGGAAACTCAAACTTGCATTAAATGTGTGCCTGGACTTCTCATTCTCATTCTCATTCTCATTCTCTATTTCCAATTAGATAGGGCACTCATTAGTTAATAGCAGCAGAATTGCTAATAAATCTGTTTGATACTTGAAAGGAGGTTGTCTCTTCATCCAAATGGCGATAAAGAAAGAGGTGGTGATGGACATATATCTCTCTACTTGAAGATCGTGGAAACTCAGACTGTACCCCTTGGATGGATGGTAGGTGTTAATTTCAAACTATTCATGTATAATCATATCCGAGGCAAAAGTACAACACCTATCAAGGTAAGTAGTTTCCTAATATTGTATACTTAAGCAGCTGGTTGCTGGCTCATGGATTTTTATGATTCTCTAGATGGTAGTACTAATTCACATTTAACTTTTTTCACATTAAAGATTCCAATGGGAAGGCTAGGAGGTTTCATGCAATGAGAACAGAATGGGGATTTCCAAAATTGATCAGTCTTGAAGATTTCAACAATGGTTGTAATGGATTTCTTGTTGGGGGTACTTGTGTTTTCGGAGCAGAGGTGTTTCTCATAAACTATACAGGCCATGGGGAGTGTTTATCAATGATTAAGAGTACAGAGAACAAATTTACTTGGAAAATTGATAACTTTTCTACCCTAAACGTGGGAAAGATTCACTCCAGCAGGTTTACTGCTGGTCAACATGAATGGTAGTCTCATCACTTTATGCCTTAACAGTGATGTTTATTGAATTCTGGCTTTCTAACTATCAATCTAATTAACCTCCAATAATGTTCTCATGGTATCTCCTGAATTCTTATTATACATGCGGGACTCTAGTTCTACGTCCACAAGGATTTTCAAAAGGTTCAGAGGAAAACTTGTCTATATTTTTGGAGTTAAGAGATCCTCCTGAGGGGAAACTTGCATGTGCTCAGTTCACGCTGGTAGTCAGAGATCAAGTAGAAGGCAAAGATTTATCATGTACAGGTAAACAGAATATATATTGCCATCCTTGTTAAAAATTTGCATGTTTCAATGTTAGTAATCTATGATAGTAATTCAGTTTTGTGGTTTTTTATGGCTCAAGGTGCTGCATCTTCGGATAACTTTAAGACAATGGGATCGGGTTTCGAGAAGTTCATGCCCTTGAAAGATCTTCAAGACCCATCGAAAAGTTTCCTTGTTGATGATACTCCAATTATTGAAGCCACAGTGACAGATGCTAGTTTCAGAGTCAAGAATCTTGTTATTATTCTTAATTCCCTTCTTTGTAATATTTAAGAGATAAAGTGGATAAATATTATTAAGCTAATAAAAATTAGGAGAAAATAGCCAGAATTAAGTTTCAAGGAGAGGTGGGGAAGGGCATTTCAATTTACAAGGAGAGGTGGCCGGTGGGGTTAGATCCTGCACAGTGCACACCACAGTCCACTCCTAGAGCCAGCTTAGCTCTTCCCAACAGCAACATTGGCATACCTGCGAACCTTTATGGAAACCCAAGGTAAGCTTAATGCTACAATGATCAAAAGCACTCCTTCCCCTCCCTGTATAACACATGATCTATAACTGATATGACTTTCGTTTATTCTCTTATCGCATATTTTGTGTTTCTTTTATAATCGATCATGCATTAGTTTCCAAAATGTTAAAGCAAATCAGCCTATCCTCCTCGTCATCCTGCAAAAGTCAGATGCTTTCAAATAAAAAGGTTGCGTTTTTAATTCCTATTTTGAAAGTTATCTTCTTTGTACGTGAAGCCGGATGCAATCCAGATAAACGGGTTTGACAGTTATCTCATTTTTCCAGATGATGAATTTTGTGGGTACTTTTGTATGGCATTGAGTCACTGAGATCAAATGTTTATGGATTTTCTGTCTGATGACAGAGAGAATTTTTTTTGAGAGGGATGACAGAGAGAATTGATTGGCGTAGAATATAAAAAGCTTTGCTCCATAAATATTGACAATTTTTCCGGCCAAACTGTAAAAAGGTCTATACTTTTCAACTCAAAAGATGGATTCTCAAATTCCCACCTTATTCTGATTTTGGATTCCCTTTTAACCCTAACAGGATCGAATGTCTCTGCTTTTCATTGTTGTTAAGTTTCATAAAGCTCCAGGGCGATTGTAATGGTAGACCGCAGAGATTCTTCCAGCTCTGAGTCGTAGTTCTTTTTATTATTATTTTTTTCTCTATCTATGATTCAAGGTATTATCTTTGCAGATTCACTTGTATAGTGCTATTCGATATATTCTGCAATTTTTGTTCTTTGAAATTGTGAAGGCAATTATACACATCTCCTCACCTTCAGAGTGTATGGTTATTGCCCTATTGTGGGGAAATTAAAAAAAATCTCTTTACAGCCATTATAGTTAAAATAAAAATTGGTATAGACGTTCGAGCATAGATGGATTTTTTCTCCATTTCCTATTTTATGAAACTAATCTGATTTAGTTGGTAATTATAGTCTGAAGTTAAGCTTGAATTTGTTATTTGATATGAACAGGATTTACTGTTTTGGTGAGAGGCAAACCACCGCCACACTATATGTTGAAGGTACAATCATTCTCACTGCTGTTTCAAGTACTTCAAATGACTAAAGAGAAACAATATGAATCACTAGCTTTTAAAGCAGGGGATTACAAATGGTCAGTCTCTTTTTAATTTATAAAGCAGCTCCTTTGCGTTAAATTGAGGTGAATTGCAATTTCAAACTTTAAGTTGGCTGATAAATGTGTTTGGAAAGTTGGCTCTTGACCTTTGTACTGACAAAAAAAGTTATGGGAATGGGTACATATATATTCTCATTTTTAGTCATGACATTCTTCTCAAACAGGTTAAGATTCTTGACATTTTACTAAGTTTTCTGTTTTATCTTCTAAGGAGTTCGTAAAAGATCATTTTTGTTCTTCTTCTGCAGCTGCAGAGTGGTTTTTGAGCTCAAGTGAAAGTTGGGGTTACTTAAACTTCATGCTGCTGAGATATCTTATGGACCCATCAAAAGGCTTCCTCGTGAATGACACTTTAATACTTGAAGTCAAGGTAGATGTTACTGCCAGTTTCTTGAAATTCACTTGAACTTTTGTGTTACAATGTTTGTTGGAGTTCTGTTATTACCTTTTCTGGCCAATATTATGTTTGATGTTAGGTTCAAATATATTGTTAATTAACTTTTTTTAAGGTAAAATGTAAATTTATTACCTAAGACACAATGATACAAAGCAACACACAGAGGGTTGCTACTGCTTAATTTCAGTGTACAATGAATGAATGTATCAAAAAAATAAAGAACAATGTAACTAACTATCAAGTCTGTCTGTACATATGATTTTCAGTCCCCAATTAGCTACTATATTGCGTGTCATAGGAGACATTCTAAGCTTTGCAAAACCCAGCACCCAATCTCTGACATCTGCACAAATCATCTCCAATATTGACAATTCAATGCTAAAAACTTTATCATGAAGCCTATTGGTTTTTTATTTCCCGATGTGGTAAATAGTAGCCCACCATGCCAACTTGATGATGGTATTCAGCAATGCCTGTCACTTGAGCCTTTTACAAAGCGAAGAGAGGAGAGTCTGCCATGATCTAACAATAGGAATGCCAGCCATGGTAGAAATTTTCTCCCAAATGTACCGTGAATATGGACAAGAAAAGAACAAGTGATCCCTTGTTTTAGCGGCTGACTTGCAGAGAAAACAAGTATCAATCTATAGTAGCAGTCCACTTCTTTTGCCTAGCCTTTGTAGAAAGCCTATTGAGCATAGCTAGTGATGGAGGATAATAGGGGCAGGGGCCCTTGTCCTTTTGGAAAAAAATTAATATTTTTAAAGTATTTTAATATAAAATTAATGTACATAAATCAATTTAGCAAATAAGTAAATATTTAGCTTGAAAATTTTAGTACATAATTCAAGAGTGTAAGTTTAATTCAAAGGTTTATTTGCAATAAAAGAACGTGGACTTATGAAATGTTTCTGTTTTTCTATTGTGATTATTATTAAAAAAATTCCTACAAAACATTTATTTTTTTTAAAAAATATCATAAAAGCAGTTTTAAAATCCCTAACTAGCCCTAAAATTTCTAGATCTAAGCCCTGCTTGTCCCCTCAAAGGCCTCAATTATTCTTGTCTTTATGATAGATTGTCATATTTCGTTGTTGGTTAAAATTTCCTCTATTAAGTCTCTTTTTATCTTTCTCTAATTTTCTATTGTACACCCTTAATTTTTTAAGCGATTAAACAATTTTAATTTTTGATAATTTTTTTTTAATTTCTTACTTTTTGAAGATAACCATTGTATATAATTTATAAGTTGGCTATCGTACTCACATTATAAATGAAATAATTTAGTTTTATGGTATCATCTTTTATGTTAACAAACAATTTTATTTCATTGTTATTAAATTATAATATAGAATTTTGTAACAATTTTATTTCATGACACTATGAACTTAAATTATTTTATTGTTGGTTAAGATTTCCTCTATTAACTCCTATATATAATTTGAGCAAATGAAATAATTTAATTTGAGTTAGGGTCCACTTAGACACAAATTTATACATCACACATTTTAACCATTCATTTCTCTATTTTTAATGGTTGAGATTTATTCACGATTTATTATATTTATTAAAGATAATTATTTTTTTATCTAATAAGTTATGATGGAGAGATGAAATGTCAAGATTTTGTACAAGTGTGATGTGTAAGATTTGTGTGTAAGTGGATCTCTACTTATTTAATTTTATAGTATCATATTTTATGTTTAGTTATCTCTTAAATTACATATGTTATAATTAGATTATTATATTTACATGTGATGAAAAAAAAAAAAAAAATTTGGCCCCTTCTTAAATTTTGGTCAAGCTTCATCCTTGAGCACAGCCAACCAAGAGATAAAGATATGCTTCAGGATTGAGTTAGAAGACCAAACAATCATATGCCAAGGCACCCTTGGCCGCTTGAACCTAATATAGTTCTATGTATGGCGAGTATAGAATACACCGGTGGGAGAGGGAATCCAGTGAACTGTATCTACCTGGCCTTGATTAGGATATAGGATATAGGATGCCACATAATCTTATTTGTATTTGAAGTAACTTAGGAGACTTGGCCGGAGGGCATTCCAAAATTTTCCTTGCACAACACATGATAGTGTGGCTCGAAGGGGAATGGCTGCATCCTGCACTATTCTCTCAACATATGTGTCAATCAAAGGCCCTTTGGGATGCCAAGAATCGAACCACAAAAAGATGTTTTCACTAGTACCCACCTGATGTTGGATGAGCTGCCTTGCTTGGGTTCTGAGCTTTAAGATCTTCTTCCAACTCCAGTGTGCATCACTGGGGATTTTTATATACCAAACACTTCTACCTTGTAACAAGTTAGCATGTACCAAAGCTACCCAACTGAACCAGCTCCTGAAAATAAGATCCAAATAAGTCTCAACATACAAGCAATGTTCCATTGTAACATAGGTTTAATCCCCAAACCTCCCTCATGTTTGGGTAAGCAAACCTCCCTCATGTTTGGGTAAGCAAACATCCTGCCATTTAACCTTCGCTCCTCTCGCATCAGCCGTTGTTCCTTTCCACAAAAACACACTGCAAATACTCTTAACAACCTTAGTTACCCTTTTAGGTAAAATAAACAATGAGTACCAGAATGTGATTATCCCCTGAAAAATTGATGTTATAGCTGGAGTCTATAGGCAAAAGAAAGGTTTTTTGAGGACCAAGTATGGATTCTGTCGGGAATCTTTGATATTAGAGGCTTTAAAGCAGCATCATTCAGCACACTAGTAATCAACAGGACTCTTAGGTATCTTACCGGCAGGAAACCTACCTTAAAACCATAGGAACTAGATAACCTCTACATTGTGTCAGGTGGCATTCCACAGCAAAAAATCTCTGATTTATGGTCATTAACTCTTAATCCAGATGGTGTGTAGAAATGTTGTAGAATACTGTCTATCCTTGCTATAGCTGATTGAGATCCATCAGTGAAATTAACTTTCTTAATTTTGGTGTTCAAGATCCTAATTGGTCTAATGTTTTACCTTTTTTTTTTTGGTACTTGTTTAATGTCTTAGTGGTTAGCTGGAAACTATGATTTGAATGCCATGTTCATTAAGGTTGT